CCCCAAAACCCCAAAACCCCAAAACCCCAAAACCCCATCCAAACCATAAATATTTGAATAAGTGTTTATCAGTATTACGGGATGAATATCTATTCTATGGCTTTAATAGCCATTCTCTATCAGAGTTAATCTAACCTAAACGTGTGGTTTTTCCAGACTAAGATCTGGCTTAGGTGAATGATCAGGCAACCGCCCTAACTCAGTTTGCTTTATCAAATCTTTTAGCCTCAATTTCTTGATCTATTTAAGTTAGAAAATTACGAAGGAAAACTTACATGTTTGAGTCTCTTTAAAATGAAGAATGAAACTCCAACTGTACAAAGGAAAGCACCTCAAATAACGCCTGTGACCATGTAATTATTAAACTCGGAGAACTCATCTAGGATTATTCCTCCGCACAGAATGTTGTTTATATTAACAAGGCTACTTTTTTCATAGGGATGATGTAGATGGGTTCGAAGTACTGGATTCACTTGTTTAGAAGGAACAGATTACTGTAGATAAGCATGAAGTTGAACAGGATTAGCAGGGTTGTTTTGTAAACACCTAGTTTGGGGTCACCATCTTGGTGGTTGAACACGTCGTCGTGGAGGACATTCATGTTTAGTTTGGCAACGGTGTTGGAGAAGGTAGCGGTGAAGCCAGCGTAGAAGGGTAGGAAGATTAGAGGGATTAGTATGTTCGGCTGTTCCAAAATATCAGGTTTGTTGCGTTGCACTTGTTCGTCTTCACCACTTGCTTGGGAGTCTCGAAGAGAGTCCTTCTTTAATAAGTTGAACTTAACAAGCATCTTATAAGTGAGAAGTCCAAAGCCAATGAATAGTGCAAGAGTAATACACAGATAGATAATAGTTTGAGTTGAAAATAGATAATCTCCGACCTGCCAAGAAAGAAGGTCTATTTTTCTGACCCTGCTAGATGTAATAATTAATGCAATCCCTGGAATCATAAAGCAAAGGGCATACAAGTCGTACTTAGTAACCTTGACACCTAGAATAACTCTTGACCATATAACAATATTTATTATTGCAAGTGCAGGGATAAACGATAATGCACTCTGAGAAGACAAGTTAAGTGCTACCAATAGAAACGGATTAGCCAAGATTTGTGTCACCATTCCCAAGATCCAAATAGGATGTTTGAGATATTTGATTCCTTTTTCTGCAGCAAGTATGTGCCCTTTCTTTTGGATGACGAATCCTAAAGCATCGAATCATGATGAAAGGACCCCAAAAATCAATCCTAGTAATAACATTTTTTATATGTGATGTTTCATTTAAACTTTTTTAAATCGGGGTTTTGGGGTTTTGGGGTTTTGGGGTTTTGGGG